AAGGATCTTTTATTCTTTGTCCCCTAAGCTAAGGCATAGGCCCTTGTTCGTAAGGTCCCTCCCTTGTAAAAACGAATACAGCGCCTTTATACGATGGGCAGTCATCACGGACAGACTTCAACAATTTGGCGCATGCGTCGTTGCTATGGTGATCCTGCCCGGCGTAGAAGAGTGAATTCGATTTATAGTTGAAAGCACCATACACAACGTGCTGTAGTACGAGATGGAATGTTGGTACTCACTCCTCCGAGAGAGCCTGATCTAGTACGTACTAGTAGGGAGAAGGGATTTCTCCTGGTACTACGCTCGTCGCTACCCTAGACGCTACGGAGCGAGGGTGATGTTGACAACTCTAGGGAGCAAAGAAGTTGATGCATCGGAAAGAGTGCATTAAGTTTTGTTTATTAAATTGCACTTAGAGGTAAGGACAGCTGATTTTGCTGTGCATTTTTTGCATGTTTTGCATTGACTCGTCTGCAAAAATTTGATTGATATTCTTATTTAAAGTCGATCGAAGAATTCTGTCTGGTGGGAAGAAATGTAAACAAAAAAGTAATCGGATAATAATAATATAAAATAATAATTGGATAAAATAAATGCATAGATTAAAATTTATTATTTTTTATTTGGATAAAATAAAATGACATTAAACAATTAATAGAGCATTTTAATGTAGGTTATTAACCACTTCCATGAAAATGGTCTGAGATTTATTTTACCATCTTTACGTTCAGAAATATAAAACAATATTTAAAAAGAAAAAAAAAAGATTATCTAAGATGTTTTTCTTTTTATCAGAGGAATGACGTAAAATAAATTTTCTCAAATAAATTTTCATTTTTTTCAACTTTTATAATATAATTTTTTAAAAAGTATTAAAGTACGTTTACGTGCAAATTATTAATTGATTTTTAATTGCGATTAACATTAAGATGGAACTAATATTAGCATTTATATTCAAGGAAGATATAATTGCTAGATATTTTTCCACCAGCGCAATCGCTGATTGGGTTGAATTCTCGTATTCATTTTGTTGGAAAACAAAGATGAGTACATTTGTGCAGGTAGTTGAACACTGTTTATGTGAAAATTATTAATATGTAATTTGTTTAAACGCTTGAAACATGGAAATCTAAGTTTTGAATTCCTTTTATGCATTTTTTTTTATCAGAGAGAAGTTTGTCGAATTTTTCTATTGCTGCTATACGAGAATTTACGGAAAGCAACTCGTTAAAATAGAATATTTTGTTTAGCAAACATAATAAAATACAGATATACTCAAAATAATAATGTTCAAAAACGAAACCCAATTAAAGGGAAGAACAATTGTAAAAGGTGAACTTATTTCTATTAAGTTGTAAAAACTAACCATGAGAATTATTTTACACTAAATGATTAAAGAAAGGCAATTATGAAACTATGAAATGTATCATATCTTCTCCTTAAAAGACGAACTTAAATGAATAATTATTTTTTATTTGACTTTTTTATTTTAATTCGGTTAATAATTTTCCTACGCCTTTTTCAATCGACTTTTGAAATGTTGGACGTATTATTTCATGAAAAAAGTATCTAAACGCGACGGAAAGATAGTAATATTTAAGAAAAACGAAAGACATTTCGTTGAAAAATAAAATATTCTCCTTCGTTTTTGATACTCAATGGCCTTTTTTTTAAAAAATAAACTCGAATCTATGAAACTCCGATTTTTCCAAATAATATAGTGTTATTTCTTTTACTGAACAATATTTAAATATTTATGCACGCGATCGTGTCCATCTTTCCACGGGAAAAGTGTTCAGTGTATAAAATTCTCGTACCTGATAATTATCAGTATCATTATATATTGAAGATGTGTTTCTCCTATTTATGACTTTTGATATGAATACTCATAACTTTTTGTTCTTTTTTATTGAATAATTAAAATTTATTTACATATATATTTTAGTATTATTAAAGGTATACGTATTATTTTATGAGTATAAATATGATTCTATAAAAAATTTTTTCGGTCAATTTACTTACAATTGTAACTAATACAATCTTAATGTAAAGTTTCAATGAATCATTTAATCCTTTTTAAAAAAAATAGTAATGGAAGAATATTACTTTGGTAAAAGAATTATATATATTTTTTAAATTTTTTTACTCTTAATGATATGTCTGTTAAAGTTCTTGACCACCATTTCCATTTTTTTCTTCGGGTTTTTAAAATTCTTTATCGTTAATTTTGCTGTAGTGTTCTTTAGATGTTGTACAGAGATATTGTACTAGTGATCTAGTAAACGTGAACCGGTTCTTTCCTGTTCTTGGCAGTACAAGGCTACCTTGAAAAGTCCATCGATTAGAAATCGTTCAGATTGTCTATAGTTTTTTCCCCTTGGGAATGACAAGTTATGCATTCGTTTAGTTTAAAATTTTAATATATTAGCTGCATTTCTTTATTTTATTCAATCGTAGGTGACAATTTGCGTAACTATATAATTATTTAAGTCAGTAATGGGCAAATTGTTATCACTCGATGTCCAGATTGTGGAAGCGGAAGACGCCGGAGAATCGCACCTTCTTTAGAATGATTGCATTCGTTAGTTCACTTTGAATCTCGGAGAGGGTATAAATTGAGACATATATAAAAATCTATAAAATTAAGTTAAATAAAATAGCGGGTCTGTTTTATTCAATTTTTGTGCTAATTTCGCACCATCTGTAGCTGTAAACACATATAATTTTAGAATCAGTTTAATGAGACAAATGTACTCAATCATTTTCTACAATTTTTTTTTAATCAAGAGTGAGATTACTTGTTGAAATTCTTGTAACTGTCTGCAAGTTAATATCAGTCAGCTTGTGTCTGTATTTAAATAGGGAACATTTTCTGTCTATTTGGTTTCCCGAGCCGCTATTTGTCCTCTCTTGGTTCAAGTATTTTTGGAATGAAATTTTTTCAAGCCCAAGAATTTTGAAGTTTGAGGTATGAAACTCAAATATGAGTCTAAGTATAAGAAAATAATTGTTGTTCATTCAGAAAATATTGAGAAATATTTATTTAGAAGCGTAAAAGAACATGTGCGCATTAAGGTATCTGACTACGTTCGGAACCATGATTTTAAAAAAGCGCATAAATGTATAATTTTCATGATATTTAGTATCACTTAGATTAGAATACATGTTTAAAATTGTTTTAAGGACATTATGACAAAAAAATTTATTTAAACATAATATTTCGGCAAAACATTAACTTAGACTAACCTTTTTTCCAAATGTTCTCCTTTTGTAAAAAAATGCTTATATTGTATTAATATATAGCTCAGACCTCTGTACAGAGGCTCAACTATGATGTTTGAAAAATTCAAATTATTTTCAGAGTTACAACCATTTGAAATAATTATCGGTGTATTTTCTTAAAATTTCTCCCTTCTGTTTTCGTAAAACATGGATAAACCGACTTCCAAGTTATGCTTTTCAAACATTCTAGTTGAGCCTCTGTACAGAGGTCTGAGCTGAATACAGGCAAAATATTAATACAATAGAAGCATTTCTTACAAAAGGAGAACATTTGGAAAAAAGGTTATTCTAAGTTAATTTTTTGCCAAAATATTGTATTTAAATAATTTTTCTTGTCATAATGTCCTTAAAACAATTTTATACATGTATTCTAAGCTAAGTGACACTAAATATCACAAATATTATCCATTTACACGCTTTTGCAAAATCATGGTTCCGAACGTAGTCGGATACCTTAAGTAGTTATGTTTTTTAATTTCCATTCCTTAAAAAGTTTCCGGAAGTAATTTTATTGTCTTTTCAAATAGTCTATTAATTTTTTTTTGAAAAAAATGTGAAGAGTTTGTTTTAAATACTAAAAAGAGAATATTAAAAACACCGTCATTTAATTTATTTTTAATGCTTACAAAAAATCAATTGGCTGCTTCATAAAGAAAAAGATATTTTTATTGCATTTATATTAAAAGTAAGCAAAAATTATTTTTAAAATTCTTCAAAGCTGAACATCAAAGGCGTATTAATAAAAAGAATTTGTTAAAATAACATGTAACGTTTTCTTTTTAACAGCTTTACAGAAACAAACTAAACTTGAGATAATAATTTAATTATTTCTTCTCGACTACAAGCTTTGCCGCACGAGAAGTATATAAAAATCCTTCTTAGTATAATAATTCTCTCTCAGTTTTAACTTCCTATCTTAGTTTGTACTCTCGAGAGATGCGGACGTTTTTAATAACTATAATGGAGGCTTTTGGCAACTACACTCTAGAAATTAAAGCTGCTAAAGTTTTAACAATATGCACTTGGTGGTGAATGCAAATTGCAACTTCTGTGAGAGACAAAAATCGATAAAAGGCAGACTCGGGAACAATAGCGCGCGGAATTATTTTCTTTTGAAATTCGCTAAGGTTCACCGGATACTCTTTTCTGGCGTTCTTTATTTCTTTTACTGATTTACATCTCAATTGTATTTATTAAGAATAATTTTCCCAAAGAGCTTCATTTCGTATTTGGGGCAATGACACTAGTTAACAAAAACACTTAAACTTGTCATTAAAATAAAAACTTGTAAACTTGTCATTAAAATTGGAAAATAATTTTAATATAAATGACGATTAAGAAATGGGAAAAAATAATTTTAATTAGTTCTCATTCAGCGTATTCGTTGGTCGACCGAAGAAAGGAATTGTGCCCTATTTTTTTGTAGTAAATATAACAGCTTTCTAATATAATAAAGATAAACACAGTTTCATGCAACGAAAATAATATAGTGATACCTAAACTTATCTATCCATCCCGATATTGTGTTCAAAGTCGTTAATAAAATACTTTTTATTTATCAACTCAAGTTCAAATTCATTTTTAAAACTTTTAGTGGATGACAATTGATGTTAATACAGTTTTTTCAAATATTAACTCTATTCAATTAAACAATAAATAGTAATAAACAAAAATAAAAGTCCAACACCATATATAAAAAGGAAATATGTCTGTGTGTCCCTGTAGCACAATGGATAGCGCTTTGGACTTCTAATCCAAGTGTCGTGGATTCGAATCCCACATGGGATGGCTTAATTTCTGATTATTCATTATCAGTATTCTGTGATTTCGTTTTAGTATACTATTTTATTGGAATAATTAAGGTTAATTAATGAATAAATAGTAACAAACAAAAATAATAGTCCAACACCATATATTACGTTGGGGAAAAAGAAATCCATTATTTTTTCGGTAGATGGCTGTAGTGTTGATATCTCGTGAAGTATCGATCAAACAATTTCAAATTTACTCGTTGTCAATATGACATTTCACACTAAAAAATTATTTTGCTTTTTTTTGTCCATTCTGTTGTGAGCTCCAGGGTGTTAACAATTGAAGTCAACAAAGAGAAAATTCGGTTCTTTTTACAGTTTTTCTTTGATAAAGGCGAAAATGCAAGCCAGGTGGCTGAAATTGTGAATGGTGTTTATGATACCGATACTGTAACAGCCAATTACGTGCAATTTTGGTTTCGTCGATTCCGTTCAGGTATTTCTGATGTTAAAGATGCACCTCGAAAAGGCAGGCCCGTTGTCGAAAATGTCGATAAAATCACAGAAATAATCGACGTTGGCCGGCATGTTAGTAGTTGTAGCATCACCCAGGAGCTAAAGATTGACTATAAAACAGTTTTAAGCCGCTTGCGCAAAGTTGGATTCAAAAAGAAGCTCCATGTTTGGGTGCCACACCAATTAACACTAAAAACATGACGGATCAAATTTCCATCTGCGAAGCCTTGACCAAACGGAATGAAATCGACCCATTTCTTAAACGGATGGTGAATGGGGATAAGAAATGGGTCCCATATTACAATATTGTGCGAAAACGACCGTGGTCAAAGTGCGGTGAAGCAGCTCAAATGGTGGCCAAACCAGGACAAACGGCCAGTAAGGCTCTATTGTGTATTTGGTGGGACTGGAAAGGAATCATTTATTAGGAGTTGCTTCCGCATGGCCAAACTCTAAATTCAGATCTCAACTATCAACAACTAGACCATTTGAAGCTAGCGATTGACCAGAAATGGCCAGAATTGGCCAACAGAAGAGATTTTGCGTTCCATCAGGACAACGCCAGACCACACATTTCTGTAGTGACTAGCCAAAACCTCTGGGAGCTTGGTTGGGAAGTTTTAATGCATCCACCATATAGTCTGGACCTGGCACTAAGCAATTACCACCTTTTTCTTGTAGTGCAATGGGATAAGAAAATGGGATTAAGAGAAGATTGTGAAAATCGGTTACTAAATGATTTGGCCAGTAAGGCCCAAGACTTCTTTGAGAGAGGCATTATGAAGCTACTTTTAAAATGGCAACAAATTATACAACAAAACGGTGCATATTTGACACAAATCGAACAATCGGAAGCATGTTAAACAAAGTCTTGATTTTCATGCAAAAATAATGGATTTCTTTTCCCCCCAACCTAATATATAGAAAGGAAAATGGAAAATCAATTTCGATTTTAAAACTTAATATTGTGATTCTGTCATATATATATATACATTTATATTAATTGTAGTTACTTAGTAAAAAGTAACAAAAATAAAATTTGTCTTTGTTGACCCAAGTAGGAACTCTGACTAAATTCTTTTTATATTACTTGTTATTCAACTAATTTTGTGTGCTTCTGAACGTTTCTTTATATAATATGATACACATTAATAAGGGTCTCAGTGGTGTTAATTTTGTCTCGAGAGCTGAAAATATAAACAATTTTGATTTGATGCAACTCTTTGAGGTTAAAACTAAATAATTGGGTTCTTTCACATATTACTTATAAAAGAATGATAATTTAAAAAAGATAAAAAATATTCAAATTATATACATAATTAAAAAATCATAAGCACTTGAAAATAAGAAACATTTCTGTAAGAAATATTAATTAAGTTTTACGTTGCGCATGATGTTTTTCTAAAATAATTGCTCTAATTACCAGCAATAAGTTAAGTTAAATACACAGTATGACCCCACTTAACGCTGTTTCATTCAGCGCTGGTTCGGTTTAACGATGTTTTATTTGAATTGCGGGATTTCCCAAAATTGTACGCAACGATAGGCTTCCCGATATCCGTAGTTTATCTGTGTTTCTTCTTTCTTGCGGTGTTGTACGAATGTAATTTTATCGTTTCAAATATTTGTTGACTTTATTGTAAGCATAAAAAATTTATATAATATAATGATTTCTATGGTGACAAATATTATGATTTTTAGTTTTTATCATGATTGATAATAAGAAACACGAAAATAAAGCAACAAGAAAAAGCATTTCACAAGAAACTAGAGTGCAAATGATTAGAAGATCAGATACTGGTGAACGTCGATCTCAAATTGGCGCGGCAGTGAATTTGGCAACTTCAACAATAAGGACCATTCTTAAGAATAAAGAAAAAATACTGTCATTGACAACTGCAAATAGAATTACCCATTCTAGAAATAGTTCAATAGAGGAAATAGAAAAATGACTTTCTATCTGGATTAACGATGAAATTGAACGCAATATGCCTTTAAGCCAATCTACTTTCTTTATAAAAAGACTGAAAATTGGAAATACAGAAGAGACAATGATCTGAAATGTAAACATACTGACTTAGAATTTTAATTATTTTTATATGTATATTCGTTAATCATGTTTCTATATTTGTAAGAAATAAATTTTTGTTTCATTGTTATAAAAAATTTAATTAATAAATTTAATGGTAAAATACCTGACCAATTTTCTACCCATCTTCCCCTAACCTCATTACTTACGTGATGAGATAACCTCGTTTAACGCTGTATCATATTACGCTCAACTTTGATGGAACATATACCCCGCGTTAAGCGGGGTCTTACTGTATATCCTTATTACACTGTAGCTATTTTTATATAAATAGAATAATTAATAATATTTTTCGAAAAATAAAAAAAGAATTATATTTAATTTTTTTCTTAATTTCAAAAAATTTTCAAATCTTTTGAAATACAAAAGATATATAATATTAAAATTAGGTAAGGTTTAAAGAGTATGATACATTTTATAATTTTAGAAAGTTTTATACACCAAAGGCTACTATTTTAGACAACTAAAATTACGGAAATGTTTCTTATTTTCAGATGCTTATAATTTTGAAAATTGGGATTACATTTTAAACATTTTGCACTTTTTTGAAACCTCATTCTTTCATAAATAATGTGTAAAAGAATCAAAATATTTATTTTTAAGTTCAAAGAATTATATATATATTTGAAAATCGTAATATTTTCAGCTTTCAATCAAAATTAACACACACACACCACCGAGACCCCTTTTAATATATAGTACTGATAAATTAATACTTTTTGTTTTATGGTGTTTCTAAGAGATGAATCTCCATCGTTATTGAATGGAAGGAGGGGGGGCGATGAAAATTTTGATTGAATTTTGGGGCGCAAATATTGAAACTTTGATAATCACTGCTTTGACCTATTCCGGGGTTCGTCTTGCGCAGTGTGGTCTTGCATAATCAAATTTCAACACCTTTTCTTTTGACAATATCTGAGCACTTTTCAATTAAAGATTGATTTACTCGGTCCACTAGTACACAGCAAGGGTCTGCATTCAAAGTTTGTCCAAGTTTCAGCACTTCAAAATGAACGACCCCACGAATTCTCCACCAAATACACAAAAGCGCAGTTTGGGAGAAAACCACTGCCTTTTGCGCTTCGGATTATCATATACGACTCGTTTTTCATGTCCAGTGATCCGGCAATCGAAAAAAATTTCGGTAGTGTGCCGCTGATGCAATAAATTGCATGTGGTGGATCAGTCAGTTATGTTTTCTTCGGACAGATTATGCAGGACCCAATCACCTCCTTTGCTCACTTGACCAATCTGCTATAAATGTTCTTGTATGGTCGACCAAGTTGGTTAACAGTGTTTGATAGTTCCTAGTTGTCTGACATGGATTTGCCTCCACTTACATCTGTAATGATTTCACACAGCTCTGGGATAAACTATTTATTTCTCAGTAAGAAAATCATCAAAATAAATAAAATTAGAGTATTCTT